AAATTTTACTCTTTAAATGATTTCAATAATATTAAGTCAATTACAAATTTTCTTTTTATTATTATTAGCATATAATTTTATTGATAATAACAAGTTTATCAGTAAAATAAATATTTGAAATGAAATAAAGTTAAGTAATATCTACGTGTAAGTTGTTGTTGATTAAGTGTTATTGTACCCGTAAATTCTCCACAACATCTTCCCGAGATTATTTTCAATAATGTCGTTTTACCACTACCTAAACAAATTTACCTGTAAAAAAGTCATTCTTTTTTGCAACTAATTTATCTAATTTATTCATACAAAGAAATTTGCATTTGAAATTTGCTAATTGAAAAATTTCTTTCCTTTTTCTTTTTTTTTACTTTCATCCCAGTTTAACTGCTTTCTCTTTTGTCACATTTTTTCATTACATATTTTAATCAATCAATAAATCAATCAATCAATAAACAATCAATCAATAAGTATATACCTATCCTCTAAGATATACCTATTCATATTCACTCGTTGTGATAAAAAATGATATAATTGATTAATAACTGCTTGTGAGGAATTAATTTTTTGCCTTAATTTATTGCTAACTTTTTTTTTTTTTTTAAGTTATTATCAAGAGCTGATTTAAAATTATTCTGCATTTTTTTTTTTTTTTTTAAATTAGTCATTTCATTTCGGAAGTTTTTTTTTTAAATTAGTCATTTCATTTCGGAAGTTTTTTTTTTAAATTAGTCATTTCATTTCAAAAGTTTTGTTACTTTGAATTTACAAGTAAAATATAATAAATTAATAGTTAAGAATTATGATATTAGAACAGATAAACATACCAGCGCTACCGATAATACCATGGATCTCACCGGATTGAACCACAATCGAAATTTCTTTCAGAAATTGTGCGGTAACTTTCGATGATGTATAATTGTACCTGGAAAAAAGTACCTATTTCAAACATTTTGCTCAAAAAGTTAATTTGCTTAGCATTTGGATGATAAATTTCATAAAGCAAATTATTGCAATAGGATTTCATTTCAGGAATAACAGAAATTATAACTTTTTCCTACTAAAAATTAATTTAATTAATTTTTATAACTTTTTCACACTGAAAATTGATTTTTAATTAGCATATGAATTTAACACAATAAATTAACTTACTCTAATCTTTTATAGAATTTTTACTTAGCTTTTTTCTCTCTAAGAGATTTGTCTCTCTCTCTCTCTCTCTCTCTCAAAAGTATCCAGTAGAATTTCATTGAAAATAACTTACTGTTTAGCTCGATTATTCTCATTATTTATTAATTTCTATGCATGTTTTTTTTTCGCCTTTTTAAAAGAGTAATATTATACCATTTAGATGGTGTAATTGTACAAGTACTCGAGACTTTACGGCATTCAAAGACATAAAATTCATCCAACATAGCTATTATCACTACGATTTTGGCGGAAATGGAGTAATGGATAAATGCGCATTGCTGAAATTATTATTGTTGGTTATTATTTTTAGTTACAAAAAAAGATATATATGATATCTTACATTTTAATAGTTTTGAGTCTGAGTGCTGTTATTTTAGATAATTGTTAACTTATGGCTTCATTATCAATTATAGGCCATTTGCATTTTTTGATATTAGCCAGTAGTCAAAGATGCAATATAATTTAACGACATTTGCGCCATTAATATTAAAATGTTGAACAAATGCAACTAAAACTTTTCTATTTGATATTTTTACACATTTATGATGATAATGATGATGATGATGCAATATAATTTAACGACATTTGCGCCATTAATATTAAAATGTTGAACAAATGCAACTAAAACTTTTCTATTTGATATTTTTACACATATATGATGATAATGATGATGTGTTATGTTCTGTGTTCTGTGTAATATTTTATGTATGTTTTAGCATTGATTGATTTACCAGCAATTTTGTTTGTGTTTTAAAAATTATCTGCAAAATGAGAATATTTTTAAGTATAAGAGAAAGAATCTTTCATCGATAAAAAAATAAAAAGCCATCAAACAAACGCCATTTCCCATCAAAAAAAGAAAAAAGGAAAAATTCATTATTACAATCTTTTCAATTTTTGCATTTTTATTGTTATTGTTGTTATTGTTGCTGTTGTTATTGTTGTTATTGTTATTGTTGTTGCTGTTATTGTTGTTGTTGTTGTTGCTGTTATTGTTGTTACTGTTGTTGTTGTTGCTGTTGTTGTTATTGTTGTTGTTGTTGTTGTTGTTGTTGTTGTTATTGCTGTTATTGTTGTTGTTATTGTTGTTGTTGTTGTTGTTATTGTTGTTGTTGTTGTTGTTGTTATTGTTGTTGTTGTTCCAAAAACAACAATGAAAAATTATTTTTGTGAGTTTTCCTTATCGTACAGAAAATGTTGACACAAAACAATAATGTTTTTAGTAGAGAAACAGTGTATTAAAGTTATAATATAATTACTTTTTATTAGTATACATAAATAATTACTCGTAATTATACCTTATTGCATTAAGTACATCAAAATCAAATGTATGAATAATATTGCAACTTTCATTATCGCAGTTGATGGATGAAATAAAACTAAAAAATTTGAAGAAATCATTTAAAATGATTTAAAAAAAAATCTTATTATCGAGAATATTCTGAGAATTCGTTATGATTGTAATGAAAATTTCTGAGCAACAATTATGATAAAATATTTGTCAATAAAACTTAAACAAATGTAATTTCAAACAAACAAGCAAATATGATATGAATTTAAAAAACAATTAAAAGTAATATTTTAGAGTTAAGATAATATTAATAAAATTGAAATCATTGTATTTTGAATGTTTAACTATTTTTGTTAATGCTATCGCTTATTTATTTTAGTAAAAAAACATCATTAAAAATTTTTAGAAATATGATAGAAAGGTATAAATTGATAATTATTAAGAGATAATCACTTGAATATTTCATTGAAATATCTGATCATAGAATTTTTTTCTTTTAATTTTTTCAGGTAGCATTTGCTTAAATCACAAATTTATTGCATAATTAAATAATCTTTTTTTTTTCAGATATATTGTGATATAGAAAGCTGATCAATTGATTATTGATTTGATATAGAAAGCTGATCAATTGATTATTGATTTGATATAGAAAGCTGATCAATTGATTATTGATTTGATATAGAAAGCTGATCAATTGATTATTGATTTGATATAGAAAGCTGATCAATTGATTAATGATTTGATATAGAAAGCTGATCAATTGATTAATGATTTGATATAGAAAGCTGATCAATTGATTATTGATTTGATATAGAAAGCCGATCAATTGATCATTGATTTGATATAGAAAGCTGATCAATTGATTATTGATTTGATATAGAAAGCTGATCAATTGATTAATGATTTGATATAGAAAGCTGATCAATTGATTAATGATTTGATATAGAAAGCTGATCAATCGATTAATGATTTCTGATTAATGATCAACTGACTGAGAATGATCACTGATATGCTATTTTATTATATCAATATCAATGATTATTTTGTAATCATTCATTTATGTTTAATTTTATAATCTAAAATATAAATCCTTTATACACATGTCATTTTGAAACATTGATTTCTCTTATCATTCTTAACAGAAGAAATAAATGATTGAGAATTAGGAAATCCGTAATCAGTAAGGTAGAATTTAATCATGAACGATTGATTATCATTTAATCATGAACGATTGATTACCTATCTATTTATAAAATGATGTAATACACATTTTATTATTCTCTTTAATCTTTCCTTCTTAACAGAATTTCAATTTATTTGAATAAATAAATAGGAGAGAGGAAGAGAAAGAGATAGTCATAAATGATAAATTTTAATTTTTTAATTCTACTTTCAAATTACACAGATAAGAGAAAGCATCAAAATTTGAAACTTTATTGAAATGAACTAACAACAGCATTTGATTAAGATTATTTTAAATGTTGTGCTATTTATAAATGATATGTAAATATAAATAGATGATGTCCCTCAAATTATATTAAGTGGTTAAAAAGGATGTCATCGTCAATTAAAGTACATCAATTTAAAATTCTCAAAAATATTTTTATATAATCCTCATTTTATTGTCAGTAAGAGGCGAAAACTTGAAATTAACAAAATTAGAAAATTTCTCTTAGAACAGGAAATGAATGATAAATGAAAGGGAACCTGATTTCCTTATTTGATTTGTCGAATTGCTGAAATTATTTCAATCATTCATCCATCATCAAACAATTAATTGGTCTTTTTTCCTCAGCACAAGGGAATGTACCAAAATTGTTCCATCTTGATTTTAGCATCAAAATTTAATTTTTCTTATTAAAACAAAAAAAAAGAGAGAGAGAGAGAAAGAGGATATCAAATGAAACAAAATAAAAATTAATATTAAAAATGTTAAACAATAATAGATTTCAAAAATGATTAATTATTCTTAACTGAATAATTAATTATTGATTATCCAATTGAAAAATTAATTATTTTTTAACAAAATGATTAATTATTTTTAATTTATTAAAACAAAAATCCATCTAATTTGATTGTTCAGAGTAATCAGTCGTTTAATTTCAATGATAATTTAAATTTAATAGCTTTTATTATTTCATTTGTAAAAAAATAACGTTAAACGCTTAAGTTTAAAATTTACATAAATTATTGAATATATAAATTAAATATCAAGAATTCATATAAATAGAAACATAAATATCTTATCGCTTTTATATTTGTTTAATTTAGAAAACGTTCAGTTTAATAAATTATATAGAATTATGATGTAGTGATATGATATTGTTTATGTGATGAAGAATAGTCCAAGATTTCAATACATTTTGATATTTCATTAAAATAATTAAAAAAAAAAATTTCATTAAAAAAAGTGAAGAAGTTAAAAAATTTAATTTATCGATTACCAATTTATCATTTATAATGCCAAAAATTCAATGTACTTTTTTTAAACCATTTTTTATTTCCATTTGTTGTTATTTCATTTATGGTCTACTCATATACATTTTGCTACCATTTAATTTCACCTACTTCAAAATTTATCATTATTCCAAAGTGATCACTAGCATTTAAAATTTTAGAATATAGTATTTTTGAATGAAATAAAGTGGAATTGTAACTAAATTTAAGTTTTGACCTGAAAGTTAAATGTTCTGGAACTTAAATCCAAGATTATATATGTTATTTACATTCCGGAATAAGTAGGAAATACTAGAGGAAAATAAAAGAAATTAATAGGATTTAAGTTTCAAATCACTCGACTTAAATTAATATTGAAATTATTATTCCACTGATTTCAGTAAGAAAGATTTGCGGTATATTCCACCGTTGAAATCTAATCCCTCGTTTAATCATCTTTGCAATTCAAGCCGATGGTTGATAGTGAGAAAGTGGGTAATATATGAATTAAGTTCCAGGAAAAATTACCACCCATAAAACAATATAATTTTTAGGCCAAAAAATTTTTACTATTCACCAAAAAATAGTAAAGGAAGAAAAGTCATTTTCTAATGAACATTTCCTATTCCATTACACTGTAAATTATGATGAAAACGGAGAAAATCTCTAAAATTTCCAGTAAAACCTAACAGTAGAAACTGATAAAACCAACCAGATGTAGGTATCAAATTTCATGAATAGTAGGGCCTCGGATTCGAATAAAGTGCATAACACTTCATTTTAAAGTTTATTTTTTTATTGTTGACTTTTCTGGAAAATAATTAAAAAGAGTTATTGGTGAAGTAGCTGAGCGCATTTCTTTTCTCACATCAAAGAACATGACAGTAATCGAAATTTCATTTCAATCCGATTCACTTATTAAACATTTCAGTTTTTACCCGTCAATTTTGAAGTTGTCTTAATCATAGAAGCCCAGAACAGCACCACTCAATCAGCTGATCATATCAAATATTATGCAGAATCGAAATCAATTGAATGTCATTAGGACTGATTCAAGTTTGAGATTCCAAGTTCGTTTCAGTTTTTCCCCCGGAAGCAGTCGAAACAAATACTTTAAAGTTCGATAATGAAATTTCTGGTTATAATTTCTACAAAACTAGACGTAATCATCAATGCAGTTCCTGACAGATGTTTGAGAATATAATACAAAACTAAGATTTTATTAAATAGAAATAAGGATTACATATGGCTCTGATTTTGTAATGGAAGCAGTCGAAATACATACTTTAAAAAGCTATCATGAAACAAGAACGATCTTGAATTAAAAGGACTTTTTACAACGAAGCACTGACTACATGCCTCTAGACAATGGATGATCACCCCAGTATTCTGGATCCGGTGCATCGTCTGGTGGGATTCCTAGTTCTTCATCCGAAAATTCTTCTGGAGAAGGAATATAATATTCACCCTACAACATGGATGCATATATTTTGCAAATAATGTTTGGCTTTACTAGAAATTAAAATTAGGGAATTTAAAAATTCGTGATATGAAATCTATATACAAAAAAAAAAAAAAACGAAAAAAACTAACGATCAAGTCGCCATAGTTGTAATACAAATGATATACAAACCAGCCCCACAGCAAAGAACTTGTTAAAGTGATCATCAAGTTTTCCAGACGTGTGGTGCTTTGAGGTGGTGCTTCCCGATAATACCACCTATAATGAAGTTAATAAAATAAAAATTACTGTACAACATCTAAACTAGTAGATAATGATATTAAGAAATTAATATTCACATAACAAGCATGAACTATCAGCCTCCTTCTTCAGACTCTAAAATGATGACTCTGTGATGATTTTTATAAATTGCAAAAAAATCCAAAAGAAACAAAAAAGATTCAAAGAAGTTTTTTTAACTAAATTCTGCTCAGTTTCCATACATCTGTAATGGTGGGTCATCTGGTTCACCAAGATATGGTTTATCCGTTGTATTTGTGATCGGATCATCATCTGCTCCACTTTTTGGACCAACAGCTATTTCTGGGCCTTCTGCATCCTGAAAAAGATAATTATCCTTCACAATTATTTGCAGATATTTAAGCGAAGACCAGATATTAACTGAATCTCACAGAAACACCAACCTTTCCTGACAACCACTTTGTCCTTAAGGCACCATTAGACGACAAGATGGAAGGTGCATGACGCAAAAATGCAAACTTTCCTATCGGTCGCAAAATTCTCGAACACTGAACAGCACGTACCAACAGCATCGTTCAACCGCAATGCATAACATACACTGAAATACATGAATGGTACCTAATGAATTCCATACATTTTCTGATAGAACAAATGAATTAATAAGCTCCAACCAGTCACAGTTAAATAACAAATAAATGTGATAATTTAGTTAAAAAAGTACAAAATCACTTAAATATTCAATAATCTGTGAAAACTAACTGTAAACTCTCCTCTCAGTGATAATCTACAAATTTTATCAGTGGTCTTTCTCGTTTCCTTATGAATTATTATCTTACTTCAATCCATATTACAGAAACTATTTTTTAAACTATTGAACTTTGTAAAACATCCCCTCTTAACAGTATCGCCTAATCACTACCATACTCTCTCTCCCGTTCCCCGTACCCCCCAAAACCCCGCACCACCTCACCTCACCTCAGCACCGTTCTACCAGAGAATGGTCCCTCTATGAAACAATGCACGTCTCAGACTCATCTTCGAAGAACTTACAGGGACAAACTTAGGATGCAAGAAGTATGTTCAATTAATTTGAATTAATCTCTTAGATAATTTAAATGCTATAAAATCACTCGTCAAATGAAATTATATTTACTTGAAATTATAATATTACACTTAGTTAGTGTCAAATATGCTAATTAATACTAATAAATATATCCTAATTAAACTAAAAGTTAATTAAATCTTTGCTTTTACTATCATTAAAACAAAATATTTTAGCGTTTCTATTCTTAGATTTCCAATAATTACAAAAATAGCTCTTTCTAATCAAAATATATTTTAAAGTATCAAAATGTTAGTTGTAAAAAAAAAAAGAAAAAAGCTGAATGGATGAAACAGCTCTGAAATAAATGCCAAAAAATCATAAACACATCATTCTTTCATACATTTACTATTTTCTTTTTTAAATTTTATTTTTTTTGTTCATAAACAATGAATGAAAAAAGTTTTACAGAACCATTAAGCAGCATTGTGTAATATGAATAACTCTGAGAAATTTATGCTTTCTGAGAGATGAAACACACTCATTAGAATAGCTAATTTGATGAGATGAGATGAGTCATTCATTTTTCTTTTCTTTTCTTTCCTTTTATCTTCTCATCAAACAAAAAATGTAACTTATTTAGTTAGATTAATTACAACAAGAAAACAATTATTAATTTAAATATTTTTTATGTGATATCTAAAAAAAAAAAAAAAAGGAATGAAATGAAATGAAACAAACTGATATCGTCTCCGAAGTGCTTATTTAAAAGATGACAAATGCGCAAATGTAAACTGAATACTTCCCATCGGTTCACGGTATTATCAGCGCCGTGGATCTTTTTGATGGCGGTCTCTTGTCGATGAATACATTAACCGCATCATTTTCAGTTTTTTTTTTTTTTTTTTTATTTATTTTTTTTTCTTTCATCCTTCTGTTGTTGTTATGTTTGATGAGATAGATCGATATGATTCTTTTAATTTCATTTAAAATTTATGTGTTAGCTTGGAAAATTTCCAAATTAAAAGATTAATTTGAATTGTTTTTTTTTTTTTTTTTTCAAAATATATTTTAGGTTAAATAAATTTAATTTTTGTCTTTTTCTTTTCAATTTCATTTTGTTTTTTTTTTTTATTATTATTTCATTTTCATGTTTTTTCAGTATTTTTTTTTATCATAGCTAATAGTTTCTTTTTAATTTCTTAATGAATGTTTTTCAAAAAAAAAAAAACTTTATTTTATGATAAATATGCAAAAAGAATCATAAAATTCTCATTTTTTGAGATTTTTTTTTGTGAGAAAATTCAATTAGGTTCGTTCATCAATTAGTTTCTTCAAATTATAAAGTTTCAATACTCTCGAAAATTTGTTAGAGAATAATCTTGGAAAGATTAAAGTTAAATATTGTTATTTGTATCAATTCAACAGTTAACATTTAAGGCAATTTATCATCTAAATAAAATAAAAACCAAATTCGCGAGTTTATCTTAAGATATTATCAGAGTCAGAAACGAGAAACTGATAATTGTGATAACAGCGCATTATTTTCAAAAAAAAAAAAAAAAAAAATCTTCAAATCAGAAAAGGAAGCAAATTTAATTCTATAATCCATTATTAATTGAAATTATTAATTGATAAGAACTATTGTTAAACTCAATTAATAATTTAATTTCGTGAAAATTGATTTCTTATCATATCTTTTACAGTTTCATTAAACCTTCTATTAAATTTAATTTAATTCTCTTATCCAACAACATTTCTGAATTTAAATTTTAAAACATACTTGCTGGGCTTAATCCAATTTTTTTTTTTTTGTTTTGTTTTTGAAAAATTTATCCTGCAAATAGCTAGTTTAATCGAAAATTTAAAATTAAAAAAAATTTATTTTATAATCATTAAGAGTTTAACCATACAGTAACGAAGAAATTTTTCATTCTAAAATTTCGATCGAAAGTATTTAATCAAATAATTTATTGATGCATATAATATAATTTTCTTTTTTTTTTTTAATGTTCAAAAAAGTTTTCCAAATTGCTCATTTATTTTCTTAGTTTTTCAAATTATTTTTAGCTTATCGCTGTATAGTTAGCATATTTTTGAAAGTATTTATAATTTTTGTTTTTTTTGAATTGCTAAAAATACTTTTAATTAAAGAAATGCACCTTTTTAAATCTTACTTAAGAATCCTTCAAATAGAAAAATGTTCTAATTTAGACTTAAATGTTCTTTCGCTAATTTTTGAATTGCTTAAAAGTGCTAAAAATACTTTTAATTAAAGAAATGCTCCTTTTTAAATCTTACTTAAGAATCCTTCAAGTAGAAAAATGTTCTAATTTAGATTTAAATGTTCTTTCGCTAATTTTTGAATTGCTTAAAAGCAAGCTTACATGAAATGATTGATCATTTAAAAATATGCAAATTGCAGGAGAGATAAATAATCTTTGATTATTAAAAATGAATGCAATATTATTGGTATTAACTTCAATTTGGCTATTATCATTATTTTCAACATTAATTTCAGCTTCTATTATTTGCATGTCATGTGCTACAAAGAATGCTGTTACTGTAAAATTTAATAAATTTTAATTTAGTTTTTTAATTTATTAGAAAACAATCTGCAAATTCAAATTCAAATTCAAAAAAAAAATTATTTCCTGAAATTAATCCATTCATTTATGTTATGTAGAAATTCATTATTAGCATTAAAATATTATAGAATTTAGAAAAAAACAATTTAAAAATTTCAAAAAATTAAAAAACTTAAAAAGAAATTAATTTAGAAAAAAGAATTTAGAAAAAAAAAGAATTTAAAGAAAGCAAAAAATTTAAAAATTTATTATTAGTATTAAAATATTATAGAATTGGAATAAATTTGTGAATTATCGAATAATAAATCCTCGTACTGGTAGATTGATGGATGATTATCCATGCGATAATCCACAAAATTTGACCTGCAATGGTTTATGCTATATTTTTCAAATTAGTGGAATCAGTAAGGTGGATGGAACAAAACAACTTTATGGTATGTTGTTTATTTTTTATTGTTAATTATGGTATGTTGTTTATTTTTTATTGTTAATTATGGTATGTTGTTTATTTTTTATTGTTAATTATGGTATGTTGTTTATTTTTTATTGTTAATTATGGTGTGTTGTTTATTTTTTATTGTTAATTATGGTATGTTGTTTATTTTTTATTGTTAATTATGGTATGTTGTTTATTTTTTATTGTTAATTATAGTGTGTTGTTTATTTTTTATTGTTAACTATGGTGTGTTGTTTATTTCTCTATTATTAATTGTGGTGTGTTGTTTATTTTTTATTGTTAACTATTGTATGTTGTTTATTTTTTATTGTTAATTATGGTATGTTGTTTATTTTTTATTGTTAATTATGGTATGTTGTTTATTTTTTATTGTTAATTATAGTGTGTTGTTTATTTTTTATTGTTAACTATGGTGTGTTGTTTATTTCTCTATTATTAAATATGGTATGTTGTTTATTTTTTATTGTTAACTATGGTCTGTTGTTTATTTTTTATTGTTAATTATGGTATGTTGTTTATTTTTTATTGTTAAATATGGTATGTTGTTTATTTTTTATTGTTAATTATGGTGTGTTGTTTGTTTTTTATCGTTAATTATGGTATGTTGTTTATTTTTTATTGTTAATTATAGTGTGGCTTATTTTTCACTGTTAATTATGGTGTGTTGTTTATTTTTTATTGCTAATTATGGTGTTTTGTTTATTTTTCTATTATTAATTATGGTACTTTGCTTATTTTTTATTACTAATTATGGTGTGTTATTTATTACTAATTATGATGTGTTGTTTATTTCTCTATTATTAATTGTGGTGTGTTATTTATTTTTTATCATTAGTAATTGTTAATTAATTTATTTTTAAAATACACGTTAGCAATACAATTCATCCAATTAGCATAGTTTTATCATTTTTAACATAAGAATATTTTTTTAAATATTGAAAACAAAAAATGGTTTTGCATCAAAATGAGAAAAAAAAATACAAACGTATAAAAAAAAATCTAAAAATAAAATTAAAAAAGTTTAGTAAACATTTCCATGTAATAAATAAAATTGTTTTATGCTTGATGTAGTAAATTTATGATTTAAAAAATGATAGTTGTCATTTTATGATTTATTAGTCAGATATTTTTGATGATATTAATTGCAAATTAAACAAGGTAAAATTATTTATAGTTATAAAATTTGAATTAATATTATTTAAGATTAACAAAAAATTTAATAATTTACTATCAGTAAAAAGAATATTTCAAAAATTAAAAATATTTTTTAATTTAAATTTAATTTACAGCAATGGCACAAGGTTGTTCAGTTGGACTTTTCGACGGCGAAGTACGATGCTTTGATCGACCGATCATAATGCTCGGCCGAGGTGGTAACTTTCATTTATACGGTCGTTACTGCTTGTGTAACGGTAATTTGTGCAGTGAAAAAACGGAAATATGGATTGAGCATGGTCAAAAGAAATTTTATGCTCAAAGGCAAAAAGGCGGTAAACAAATTTTATTTATGATAAATTAAATTTCAAATAATTTATCAATTAAATAAAACCTTCCACAAATTCAATCTTTCAGAATTAAACGATTAAAAAGTTTTTTTTTTTTTTGCTAAAAAAAATTTTTTTAAATTTTTGTTAAAACAATAGCAAAAGGATTTCTTCATACTGTCACTTCAAATTGTAATAATTTCCAGCTAACACTTTTGTAAAATTGAAAATTTTTTTTTTCAGAGATTTTTTTTTTTTTTTAAAAGATCAAATGATCCAATGAATCAATATTTCATTGATTTTCCTAATAAAGTGGAAAATAAATAATTTGTAAAACTTTTGAAACATTGCTTATTCTCTTTTCTAATCTATGATGCATGCATGATGACCTTTGACTTTTTTGGGTTGTTTACATTTTACTTTCAGTCTGCTTTAATTGGCCTTATAATCATATGCCAAAGAATAGACTTGGCCATAAACTATATTTGACCCAACTATAATTGATGAAACTACTTATTAAACTGAAATTTACATTTAAACATAATTTTAAGCATTTTATTGTCAACTGTAATTAATATTTGGTACTTCAAACAAATTTATTCCGCAATTAAATTAAAATTACCAATGGGTAATGAAAAAAACAACCTAGAATTGTTCCTGAAAACTAGCAGAAAGAATTTTAGGCTTACTATTCACTTCATTTCAGGTAAAAAAAAAAGTTCATTTCTTCCCAGGTAATTTGATATTAAAATCAAAACTTAGAGAAAAGAATCGACATTTTAATTTGAAGTGCAAAAGAATTTGTGATTAAATTAAATGATTTGGATCAAATTTTAAGTTTATTTTATGACTTACAGAAAAATAAAAAAGCAAAAAAAAAAAAATTTTGCTAATTATATTTTCTATTTTTTTATTTTATATTTTATGAAATAAAAAAAAAAAAAAACAAATATCATTTCTTAATTATCAATACTATTCTAGCAATTGTAATAAATTTATTACCAATTATTTAAAATTATTTTAAAATGATTAATTTTAAATTAACACACTCATTTTAGGATCAATGAATGGAAAAAGTTTGACAAATGCTATAGCAATTTCAATTATTTCTTTGATGCTAGCAATAAACGGGTTAATTTGAAATTGCTTATCACCACTATCACTGTGCAAGTTCAAACTTTATCATTTGCTCAAGATATCTTTTCTTGATGTTCTGTGATTAATTCATATCAATTCCTATGCAACAAAAGCATTTTTCTACTTTTTTTCTTCCCACTTTTTTCTGTTTAATTTTTTTTTTCTTTTTTTTTCCTTATCATATCAGAGTGATAATTTGAAGCTGTAATTGTGCATGAATTAATTGATAATTTTGATAAAATTGATCGTTTGATTTATTTTATTTCTGAAATTTTCCCATTACACTTTACTAATTTCTTTTTATCAATTTTAATTTTTCACTGTGATACTGTTTTAACTGCTTTAGTACTACCTTATATTATTTATATAATCACTAATTATTATTTAATTATCAAACGATGTGAATAAATCAGGGCAAATTTATAAATTTGATAAAGCTCAATTCAAAAAAAAAAAAAATGTTAAAATACCATCAAAGGTAGTTGTACCATCTTCGAACTCTTTTTTAATTCTTCAAATTTTCAGACTTGGAAAAATGATAAGAAAGATAAGGCATTAATATAACTTTTAGTAATTAAAACTTATCAAACTTTACTTTCTGTCTTCGATCACCTCAACCATATTTTTTTGTCACAATATAATAAAATTTTAAAATTTCTTCTTGAAGTAATTTATGTTATTATTAAAATAAAATAGTAATGGGAATACTTTATTTAAAGTTATTTTTTTAAAAAAAATTTAAATTTTAGTTAGAATTTATTAGCATAAAGAAAAATAGCTAAAATTTTTGGAACGATTATATTTTATAACATTGATCATTTCAACTTTATTCCTTTCTATCAAAAAGAAAAAAAAAATTGCCTATATTAATTAAATTTTACGTCGATTTTAAAAAACATTAGAAAAGGATCTCTGATGAGTGAATATTTGGGTTTAAGATGGAAGTGATGAATTAAAGATCATAAAGAGGTCAACAAATTTTGTAACTTTAAAATTTTAAATTTAAAAAAAAATTTTTTTTTTGTTTTTAAATTTGAAAAAGATTAACAAATTTTTAGTTATTTATAGTAAATAAAAGTGTAACTTATTTATTTTGCATCTTGCAAGAGATACATGAAAATGATAAATCTCTTCAAAGTATTTATTCAAAGTAAAAGTAAAAATAGAATAAAGTAAAGAAATTTTGTTTGTGAGTTTTTCTTTTTTTTTTTTTTTTGATAAACAACTTTTATTGTAAGTCATTCTTGTAATGTACTATTAGAATTATTTATCACTCTGTTAAGTGGAATAGAAATGAAGCAGAAATAGTGGAAATTCAAAATATTTATATTTATCAAAAAAAAATATTTATCAAAAAGTGTGATAAGAAGAGAGAAAAAATTTCTGAAATATTTTGACATTACTTAAGCAATTGTTAATGGAAAATTGCTGATCAATAAAAATTGATTTTATTGATTAGATTATCATAGATACTGATAACATTGATCAATTTGTTATTTTTATATATATTATTTTTTTTTTTTTATGAGAAAATTTCCGTCTTATTTTAATTTTTTTTTTTTTTTTTGATCATATAAAACATTTGATAGTATTCAGTAATGACAAAAAATTTTTGAAATGATAAAATAAAATTTGCAATTGAAGTGATAAATGATAAAATTTTCGTAGATAAAATTTATGAAAAATCATAATTTTAAAATTATAAACATTCGAAAATTAATACCACATTTCATCCACACTTTGCAAATAATATATATTTGATAGTAAAAGAAAAAGAAAAACTTCAAATTGTTAAATTTGTTTTTTAAAAAAAAAAGTTACAAATGAAAAAGTTTGATGTCTTACGTTGGTAAAATTATACTTTAAGCTTTGAATGCTTCTTTTGTTAAAGTTTTAATTAACTTAAAATGGAATAAATATTTTTAATAGATACACTTATATGAAAGTAAGGAATGTTTCTATCATTTCATATCGCAATTTTAAATTTCATTTCAATCTTTTCAACCATTTAATTATCATTTATAAGACGAAAACCTGATATCGATAACAGGAATAGAAAGAGAAAAGTTGATTAAATTAGAGTAAAACATGAAATATCAGCGTAAACTCTTTAATAATAAATCACATAGCAATTAAATAAATTTTGAAAATGATGCAAATGAACAGATAACATTACTCATTAATAAATAAAAATTTGAGATAATACGAGAAAACGATCATTTTTTCAAATTAAATCAATTTTTAAAAATTGAAATTGAATATGGTACTTTACTGAAATATAAAGTACCATAGTTTAGCTATATTAGACTTAAACTTGGCCCATTTTAATATTTCCTATTTTATTGGTACAAATTTTTACAACCATAATATACTTTTTAGCTGCTGAATAAATTTGCATTGAAATTAAAATTTAATTAAAATTAATTCTAAGCATTAAAATTAATTACAAAGAATGTTTTAAAAAAAATATATATATATTCAAAGAGTTAAACTATAAAGTAAAATTGACAAATTACTATAACCGTAGTTATTCAGTAAATAAACTACAAACTTCCAATAAAAAAAAACTCAAACATTTTTTTTTTTTTAAATTATAAAAATATTTAATAATCAGATTATTTATAATAATATTAAAAAAAAAAAAAAAAAAAAAGGAAAAGTTTTGGAACAAAATTTCTTATTGATATAATATCGAACGACAACGGTGACAACAGCGACAACGACGATGACAACGATGACAATGTAATAAATCTTTTCTTCCTACTTTTTTTTTTTTAAAATTGTATTTTGTACTTTTGTAGAACTTTATTTTAGTGATAAATTCAAACTTGTTATCAAATAATTCTAAAGCAAACATGAAATGTGATCATACGAAAAAGTTCGTTTCGTTTTGTTGTAAAATTTTCAAATGTTATGAATGTACTTTGTAAGGGTTATATGGCATCTTCTCAAAAATCATGTTTTAATTTGGTTGACGTTGAAATTAACAAAACATTTTTCATGCTATTACGCCAATTACTCTTCTTCAAATGCCAAACTGAGAACATTTCTCTTCATCTTCTCTTTCGCTTTTTACCATTTTTGAACAGTTATTATATATCATTATAATTATTCAAATTATTATGTCAATTTATATCACTGATAATCATTATCATTATCATTGTTTTCGTTATCATTTATCATTATTATTATCATAACTATTGTTAGTATTATTATTAGCATTGTTTTCTTTATCATTATTATCATCATAACCATTGTTAGTATTATCATTAGCATTGCTTTCTTTATCATTATTATCATCATAACTATTGTTAGTATTATCATTAGCATTGTCTTCTTTATCATTATTATCATCATAACTATTGTTAGTATTATCATTAGCATTGTCTTCTTTATCATTATTATCATCATAACTATTGTTAGTATTATCATTAGCATTGTTTTCTTTATCATTATTATCATCATAACCATTGTTAGTATTATCATTAGCATTGTCTTTTTTTATCATTATTATCATCATAACCAATGTTAGTATAATCATTAGCATTGTTTTCTTTATCATTATTATCATCATAACCATTGTTAGCATTATCATTATCATTGTTTCTTAGTGTTACACCATTTGAATTATTATTTTTTGAATTATATAACAATTTTTTTTTTTTTGTTTTTGCTTTTTAGTTTTATTCTGTTATTGTCATTTAATTATTTTTTTTCATGAATTTGACTAAAGTAATTGATAAATTTGGTAATTGTTTCATTATTAAATTTGTTAAATATTGGTTTCATAAAAAAAAAAAAACTTTTTCATAATTTATATTTTTATTTGCATATGTTTTAATACCATTTATTTATTTATCTTTTGCTTAAAAAAAAAAGATGTCATTAATTTATTTTGAGATTTAATAAAAATTGTTCAGTGATTTTTGGTTTTTTTGGGACTTAAAAAAAACACTCAGATGTTGAAATTTAAATTGATTTTCTGTTAATTGTATTACTTAAATACTTATAATTTTGTTTAATTAGTTGTTTTGGAAATTTTTATTTAACTTTTTGTGAATTTTTATCGAATAATTTAGTGAAATTTTTTGCTTCAATTATAATGATAATATGAAATAAACAAAGAAGTGAATTTCATTGACATAAATTTAAATTCTGTGACACTTCTTAACAAGAAGAATTTAACTAATCTCTGTCTTTTTTTGCTATCTTCTGTAATGGTTGATAAATTGCAATTTAAAATTGATAAATTTAAATTTGTATTTAAGTACATCCTTTTTACATTTTCTAATAATCAATAAAAACAATGAGTTAGAAAATGATCAATCAGAAAATGAGAATTGATGAAATCAAAATATTTCTTCAGTGATTTTTAAATTTTTAAATATATTTTTAAACAAAATAAAATTTAAAAATTGAATTTTTTATCTTAAAACTTTATTTGTTCGATGAATGGATACTTGTAAAAAGCTAGATATGATGAATCATCATTGATTATAATTTTGATCAAATAAATTTTAATTTTTGATTAATATTTATCTTTCTTGTAACTGAAACTTTAAAATTAATCTGTTTTACTTTTGTTCATCTGTTAATTTTCTGTTAATTTCTCAAAAAAAAAAAAATTTTCTGTTAATTTTTCAAAAGTTAATTTTCTGTTAATTTTCAAAAATAAAAAATTAATCTGTTAATTTTTACTTTTTTGTTTGAATCTTTTCAATTATGTCAACAAATGTTGTATTAATGTGACAATATAAATGTATGATTCAAATCATTCGAATTTTTATTTAAACTGAAAATCAGTGCTGTATGAAAGTTTATGTTATAATAAGAATTTTAATTAAATCATTGGTTATCGCTGTTTTAGGTTATTAGAATTATGTGAAAGTGATGAATGATTTTATAAATTTAAATTGCCATATGAAAGCAAATTTATCAAAAATTTTTAAGTTTGATTTTAAATTATGGAAACAATATATGAATGGCAAATAAAAGTGCAATAATTTTTTTTTTTTTAAAAAAAAATTAATACAAAATAATATTATTCATAGAAAGTAATTGTTTATAATTGGAACGCATCTTTCAGCGGTATTTCTAGAAAGTATTAAAATTTAAAATTTACAAACTGATTAATTTAAATATAATCAAATTTAAAAGCTTTTTTTTTTCAATAAGTATCATTAAAAAGTTAAAAAGATAAGAAAAATGAATGCAATTGTTATTATTACAAAATGTTTAAAATAAATGAAAAATTAAATAATTTTTTATTTTATCAATAAGATTTGAATTTAATTAAATAGGAATAAATTGTAATCAACTCTAATTGATATTAATTTATACAGGTAAGCAATGAATATTTCAGGTATGCTAAAATTAGCCTTTTTGATCATACTGTGCGACATTATACCTTCTTCGTTAGCTGATGCTAATTCTTGCGGAAAACTCGTGCATTGTACTATTAAACGATGCTTCTCTACAGGTTGGCTTTTTTTTTAAAAAAAAAAAAATATTTAATAAAATATTTGAAATGGAAATGATCGGTAGTGATTGAAAGATGTCTAATTAAGACAATTTATAAAGTTAATAGTAGGTGAGACTGATAATTTGATGCTGATAAGTTGATAAACTATAGATTGGTTCAGATAAATTAAATTCAAATTGATTTAAGTGCAAATAATTATGACTGCATGCATTTCTAAAACTTACAAAAATATTGCATTTTAGTGCAAGCAATCCTGAGTGCATGCATTTCTACAACTTACAAAAATATTTGCATTTTAGTGCAAGTAATCATGACTGCATGCATTTCTACAAGTTACAAAAATATTTGCATTTTAGTGCAAGTAATCATAACTGCATGCATTTCTACAACTTACAAAAATATTTGCATTTTGGTGCAAGTAATCAAGACTGCATGCATTTCTATAACTTACAAAAATATTTGCATTTTGGTGCAAGTAATCATAACTGCATGCATTTCTACAACTTACAAAAATATTTGCATGCATGCATTTCTACAACTTACAAAAATATTTGCATTTTAGTGCAAGTAATCATAACTGCATGCATTTCTACAACTTACAAAAATATTTGCATTTTAGTGCAAGCAATCATAACTGCATGCATTTCTACAACTTACAAAAATATTTGCATTTTAGTGCAAGTAATCATAACTGCATGCATTTCTACAACTTACAAAATTGCATTTTAGTGCAAGCAATCATAACTGCATGCATTTCTACAACTTACAAAAATATTGCATTTATAATTTCAGAAAAAACCGAGACAGCAATGCATACTATGAGTGCTGTTGGCATGTTTTCAGCAATGGTTGATCAATTCAGTTTTGTTTGCCTTGCAACAAAATGCCATGATGCATGCACTGCATGCGAGCAATGCAATTATGCCTTGGATCAGATATCTAAAATTACCTCTGGTGTTAAAACAAGTACTATCTTAAGTGATATTTTTAATTAATTAATTAACAAAATTTGATTCCAAATTATGCATTTCAAAACAATTCAAATAGTCAATCTTAACCATTGGTATTACTGATAATATCATTAGCTTTTATCAATTGAACTGATAATGATTCTAATTTTTGATCATTTAGTCTAATCAATGATCATAGTTCATTTTTTCAATGTATGCAATTACATCTAATTTTAAGCTATCTTGCTATTTAAAAAAAAAAAAAAAAAACTAATTAATAGTTTTATTTTTAGAAATTTTTTTTTTTAAAAAACTGATTGGTACTTTTAAACGGGAATAAGTTTAATTAGCTATGTAATTCTTATCAAATTTTATCAGATGATTTAAATTAAAAAAAAATTATGGATGTTTTTTTCAATTTTTTAATTTAACCAAAATCGAGTTTAAACTTTATTCGATACAATTGTATAAATTGAGTTAACGAGAAATTAAATTATGTAAAGAAATTTACATAAATGGATTTTCTGTCCTATTCTTTCCTTCTCTCTCTCTCTGTCTCTCTTTCTCTCTCTTTCTCCCTCTCAGTTTTTGTGTAAATTTGTTAACAAATAGTAATACTCAATAAATTCATTTTAAATTTTGCATTAAATTTGAATTAAAAAAAAATCTAGCTTAATCTATTTTATTTGCTAATTTATCTAACTAACATCGTTGAATATTTTTGGCATACGAAAAGTTGGAAAACTTTTAAATTTTTTTTTTAAAAAAAGAATAGAATTTAAAAAAAAATTTTTTTTTAGCTAAGTGCGAAAACATATCATAAAATTAGCGATAAAATATTGATAATCAAAGAACAGGAAAAAAGTATAGTAATAAATGAGGAAAGTTTTAACAATTAGAAAAATTACTTATACATATATTATATTTAATAATTGAAAATAATAAATGAAAAATTATATTTAATATTTTTTAATTTATTTTCAAAAAAAGCCACAATTTTAAAAAAGTAATAAATAAATTAGCAATATAGTAATAAATAAGAATTTATATTTTATATTACTTAATTTATTCTCAAAAAAAAAACCTAAAATTTTAGCTAAAATTTGAAAAAATATAAATATATTAAATATAAATGTAAATTTTTAAATTTTTATTAAATTATGTAATATCAAATTTGGATAAACTCATATAACAAAGTTTAACATTTACTATTTGCTTTTGCTTTTGCTTTTTTTTTTTTCAGAAATGGAATGTCCAAAAATTGAAACTTGTTTGGAGCAATGTTTTATAGAAGATGCGCTTCACATGAATTCGTGTGCAAGAAAACGATGCAATGTTTACTGCTACGATGATGATTGCCCGTATTGTGTTTATGTTGCAAAAAGGATATTTCTAAGAATTTGTCGTGAAAATAACATTCCAAAATTACCAAATGTTAATTTTAATGGTAGTTGTATGGATTTATTTAATTATGTACTTAAAGAGTACTCTGCTGGTCGTAGAACATAAATGGATTTTTTTTTTTTTTCTGCTATTATCAACTGATATTGTCAACTGATATTGTCATTCTAATATTGTCAACTGATATTGTCATTCTAACATTGTCATTCTGCTATTGTCAACTGATATTGTCACTCTGGTATTGTCAACTGATATTGTCATTCTGATATTATCAAGTGATATTGTCATTTTGATATTGTCATTCTAATATTGTCATTCTCATATTGTCATTCTGCTATTGCCAACTGATATTGTCATTCTTATATTGTCATTTTGATATTATCAAGTGATATTGTCATTTTGATATTGTCATTTTCATATTGTCATTCTAATATTGTCATTCTCATATTGTCAACTGATATTGTCATTCTGATATTGTCATTTCGATATTGTCATTCTAATATTGTCATTCTGCTATTGTCAACTGATAACGTCACTCTGATATTGTCAACTGATATTGTCATTCTGATATTATCAAGTGATATTGTCATTCTGATATTGTCAACTGATAATGTCACTCTAATATTGTCAACTGATATATCATTCTGATATTGCCAACTGATATTGTCATTTTGATATTGTCATTCTAATATTGTCATTCTGATATTGTCAACTGCTATTGTCAACTAGAAAATATCATTATGATACTTTTTTATAGAATTTTTTGAAAATGATAATATTCTAATACTGTACTATTTGTTATGCATTTTTTTCTTTTTGTATTCAATTTATTTGAGCTAAAATTGATAATAGAAATTATTTAGAAACAATTGTCATCTGATATTGTCAATTTTGATATTTAAAAAAAAAAGTGAAAAATGGCAAAAAATTGTTTTGAAAAGATTATTAGATATTTCGCTGAGAAATTTGTAAAGTTGGAAAGATGTAAAAATGAAATTCAAAAGATTAATTTTTATGAAAGAAATAGAATTTCACATTTCTTTTGTTTAAAATTACTGTGTTTGAACTTTAAATTTCTTTAATTTTTAATTCGTTTATAGAAATTAATGAACAAAATACGATGAAAGGTAATTAAGTTTAGCTCTATCTATTCAAACATTCTCAATCTATTTCTATTAATTCAATTTTTTTTTTCCTTTTTTGTTTCATTGTAAGCTAATATATATATTTTTTTATCATTTCAATTTATTTAAGTTTGTAAAAAAAAATTTCAATTAAAAAATTAAATTTTGATTAAAAATTTCACACATTCATTATTTATTTTTGATAAAATAGCAATTAGTAAGTAAGATTTCATAAAGATAGTCGAAAGTTCTAGAATTTATGTCAAAAGCGCCCATTTTGCGCAATTCAACAATATAGTAATGCTTGAATGATGAGCCATCGTGATACAATTAAAAATTAAAAATTTCATTTTCAATTGGAATAAGATTAGGCTAGAAAGTAACTCAGAATTTAGTAGAAAGTAAGTTTAAACTTTGTTTAATTGAATATTATTAAAATTTTGCATTTGAAAATCTGCCTACTAATATATGTAAAAAAATAAATACTTATCTCTTTGGATGAATGAATGTTGATTACTATAATAAAAGACCAATATTACCGATGGCCAAGTCCCCCAGTAGTTTCTTGGCTCAATGCGATAATCACTGATTGGCCATATCAGTTATACGATAGCTGTAAAAATATAGTGATTAGATTGCGATGAATTGACTTCTTGATAATCGAATAAGGGTAATTTTTTGAATTTGTAAATTTGATTAAGATATGGCTTTAAAAGAGATAATCCATAAAAGTATCAAAATTTGAATTTTTATTTTAATTTTTATAAAAAAGCCATCAAAATTTGAATTTTACTTTTTATAAAAATGCATACTTTAGAATCTGAAACACTTTAAATTGATATTTCATAAAAATTTGTACTGTTTAATTTGCATGAATTGATAGAAAGCATTTAGAAGTTGTTGTAGTGACAATGCAAAACTTCAATTTAAAATTTTTTAAAATCGTTATTGTAGCGTTGAAAAGATGACAGTTTCATTATTTATTGGCAGAGGCGCAATTGGAACATTATTAGTCAAATATCCCATTACTAACAAAATGTTACATTAGCGCATTTAACAATTAAAAAAAAAAATTAATCATAAACTTTTTAATCAATTTCAAATTAACTACTTTCTTTAGACATATAAAATGTAGTTTTAAATAATATTTTTTATAAAATAGGCAACAAAGATGATTTTTAAAAAGTAAATGAAAAAAGGATGGAATTTAAAATTTGTGGGATGAAATTATTTGAATATTTTTTAACCTTTAATTCAACACGAAACTTAAAATTACTCTTGATACTTTATGTTAATTAATATTATATATTTAAATTTTTAATTTCATTCATTAAACAAATGAACTCTTCAGTATATTATATTTCTTATACTCAAAAAAAAAAAAAACTATGGTAGTACATTTCTTCAAAGGTCAAAGTGAACGAACTACTCTAACAAAGTTGGAAGTATGAAAGTACCACAAAAGATAATTTCAAAATTAATCTTACAAACAAAAATTTCATTTTCTCATAGAAATGAAAAAGATGAAATATCACTTTCTTTTTAAAATAATGCAACAATTGAGCACCATCCGTTGATAAAAAAAATTGCAAAGTAATAATTTTTTATTCAAAATACGCACAAAATTATCACTGAAATATTTATTTAATTAATTATTTCATTTTTCAATTCTTTCAATTTATTATTAACTTAATTAAATGAATTGTAAATGTTGCAAAGTTTGAGCATCAATTAACTGTAAGATTTCTTAAATTAAATAAAATGCAATCATACAGTCATAATTTTTTTTTCCCTCTATGAATACTGAAATAAGAAAAGATTGAAAGCAAGTAGATAAGTTATGGTACTAGTAATTACTTATTATGTAAGGTTAAATGAATGTAGGAATGTTTGGAGAAATTTATTAAACTTTTGAAATACTTAGAAAATAATGAAATTTTGAAAAATAATTAATTTAAATGATAAATTTAAAAGAAATGAGACTGTCTTTCATCCACTTTGAAGAAGAAAAAACTGGTAAAGATTATTTTTTAGCAAAAATTTAATTTTGAAAAATTTTCCTATCTCACAATTTTCATTTATCGAAGTAAACTTTAATTCGAAATGATAAACACAATTGATAATAAAATTAAAGAATTATTACTTAGTTAAAGGATATTAGAGCAAAAAAGTTAATGAGAGTATTATTTTAGTTAATTATTAAAGTAATGACAATAGTAATAGACTTTTTGGAAAAATAAGGAATAAAAATAAATTTGAAATTTATAAATTCAAAAACTATTTAGAACTTTTTTCATTCCAATTTGCAAACGAACTTCATTAAAAAAAAACCCTCAAAATTAATGTTAAACACTTCAAAATTAATTTCTTCTTCGTTTTACATCAAATTTATTTTACGTTAACAAAAAAATGCTGTCATTACTACTCGGTGACATTGACTAAAATTTCGAATAAAAAACAATCAATGTATTGAAAAAATTTAAAAGACTTTTTTTAATTTAATTGAAAGTATTGTCACAAGATAGTCTCTCCTCCCTAATTTTATTATTAATTATTTTTTCTCTTCCCGTGTCTTTCATTTCCTCAAATTTGCAAATATCATTTCATCAAACTCTCTGACTAACATTTAATTTGTAGTTTATGAACTCTTCTTGAATTTTTTTTTTTTTTTTAAAAAAAAGACTTTTACTACTTCAGTTTTTATTCTATACGAATTTTATTAGTTAGCAGTTTCTACATTTCTATACGAATTTTATCAATACCTTCAGGTACCAATGAAATCTTCTTTTAAATGTTGACACAATGTTGACATTTTCAAAATATAGCATAATCTCTTCTCCACCAGATATTCTATCCCAATCTCTCATCCTAACTTCACAATTACTCTTCTGCTTATGCAATTTGAAAATAAAAAAATAAATTTGATAGCATGATTGTTCACAATTTAAAAATAGTTGGATAATGAAGAGAAACAGTTCAAATGCAATTAGTTAATATCGTTAAGTAAAAATAGAATATAAATTTATATGTCAAAAAAATATTGAACAAATAAAGGTGAAATAAATTTAATTTGGCGATTTTTGTAACTGAATTATAATTGACAGAAGCGCTGAGATTAATTTTTATTTAGTAAATTTATTGGAACATTCATATAGCTAACATTTTCAGAAACATTTGAAAGTAAAAAACTTTCTTTGAATCAAATTTTTGCTTATTTTCCTAATTTTACCTTCCATTTTTGATGAATTGTAAAAAAATTTATTCTTTGCCATAGTGATATCTGTTCTTTCTTTTATCATACCATTTCTGCAATTCATATCATAGTTAATTAAAAATTATTATAAAAAGTTCCAGAATTGCCTATAAATGAGAGCTAAAGGAGAAGTCAGTAATTCATTCAAAATTCAAAATTTTAAAAATAATAATTTCTAAAAGCAATGATTAAAATGATTAATTTTAATTCATTTAATTTCAAAGTAAAACAATCCACAGTTTTATTAAAAACTAAAACTTTCTTTTTTTTTTTTTTTTCATTTACAAATAAATGTTCTCACAGTGGCAGAATTGTTATTCTGGCTGTAAACACTGGTTGATTTATCAGTTTGTGATGCAGTATTGTTTACATATTTCGTATGATTTCGTTTTCGATGTTCAATTTTTACATCCTAAATGAAATAAAATTTAATTTTTGTAAATTTATTTATGAATAAAATGCACTATGCAAAAATAAACAAACAAATTTTGACATCAGTTTTAACCTAATTTGTTTAAAACAAAAAAAAAAAAAAAGAAAAAGCACAAATAATTAAGTAAATTTGAACCTGTTCCAACTTTTTTTGTTCTTTATTTTCTGAAATTTTAGAAAAATATTAACTTTATGAAAAATGATAATTATTTTCACTTCAAATTTGATTTTTGCATAAATACAATTAAAACAAATTATTACAAACACATTAATAATTAAAATCAAAAATTATTAAGATACTAAAAATACTAATGGATGAGAATCAAGAATTACTAAGCTATCAAGAAATCATGATAATAAAATCTAAAAATAATGGACTTAAGTAATAAATAAATGTATCATTAATCAGAACAAATAAAGTTAGTAAACAATTCAAATCTTTTAAATGTAATGATTATATGATTTAAAATATAAAATATCAAATTTATTTCACCTCCTTTTTTTTTTTCAGAAGCACAAAAAAAAAGACTAACGTTTCTTGACAAGTCGTGCCGTTACAGTGATGATCACTTCACGTCCGTTAGCGTGCTCTAAAAATCGAGCAACATTTTCACGTAACATTTCCCTTATACTTTTCACCGATCGATCCATAATATGTAGAATAGTGAATACAATGCACCGTATATACTACTAATTGCTAATACAAATAAAATTTTAAATAACATTTTGAAAATCTTTAAAATGAAATATTTGCATGAATAATCACAGATTCTTTACGGAACTATTTTTAAGTGTAAAAATTAAATGTAAAAAATTTAAATGTAAAAAAAAATGTATTAAACATTAAATGTAGAAGAAAAAAACAAACAAACATTTATTTTAGATGAGATTTTAGTTAGAATAAACTTAAGTTTATATCAAATATGTTAACTGGGCAATTACCGGTGAATTGCATCAGTGCAAATAGATGTCTAAACTGTATTTCGATAATCAATTGATAATTTAAAAAAAAAAAAAAAAAAAAAAAACTGAGAAGTAAATTTCTTACCAAAATTGTGATATGAATATTTGGCTTCCTCTGACACGATTAATTTATTTTTGCTTTCGTCTTTTTTTTTTTTTTTCATTAACGAATTTCTGTTCTAAAAAATTTTAAAACTTCAAAGGAAATTTGTTTGTTATCGTTAATGATTACAAATCTCGACTACATAGCTGAAAATAACCGAAAGTGATTCGAGAGTCTCGCCTGAATATGAATGCCAACACCGCCAACACTTTTCAAATAGCGCCAAATCAAGCAGAGAACAATTCATTGACAGACGCATGTATACGATGAAATAGTATGGAATAGATGAGACGCAAGTGTAACATATCAGGACAATAGGAAAGGATGTGTGAAAGATGGCAGACGTGATATGAGGGTGCGTGATACGTGAATATGTTTAGTAAGAACGTTACGTTGTTGACGTCACTTTAAGGAGAAATTATGGAGCAGAAAGAATTACGTTTTGAGGGATGCAACTTCTTCAGACAGCGACTTGCTTATTCATTGCTAAGTGGTCACTCGGTGACCATTTCAGAGATACGTCGTTATGATGATGAACCAGGAATAAAAGGTACGTTCTCATTTGACGTCCTTCTATTACGTCATATTTCACATAATTTAATTTATTTCTTTGACGAATAACTTGATATTTCTTCCAGTAAGAGATAATTTCAGTAATTTTCAATAAAGAGATAATTTCAGTAATAAATAATTCTAAAGCTTGGTTTGATTTTTTTTTTTTTTTGAAATTCCAACGATTTAAAAATTTTTAAACTACAGTTTCTTCTAACCATTGTTCTTTCCTTTTGAAAAAAAAAAAAAAAGACACTGAATTGTTTATTTAGATTTCGAGTCAAAACTTCTATTAATGTTGGAAAAGATAACCAATGGCACACGAATTAAAATCAGTCAAACAGGTTTAATTTTTTTAGTCTAGTTTTTATTTTTTTTAATTTACACTTTTTATTTACAGCTCTGACTTTAATTTTTTCGTTCCAGGTACTGAAGTTACATTCTCACCTGGTATGATCACGGGTGGCAAACTTACTTTCGATTGTGGCAATGACCGATGCATAAGGTTGTTTTTGGCCGGTTCTCATATTTTTAGATTTAAATTTAAATTCATTTAATGTTTGCATCTTTGTCACTGATATTCAGCATCTCATTCTTCTATCATTCCTCATAGAATTATTATATATATATTTTTTTTTCAGCTACTACCTGGAACCTTTGTTAATGATTGCTCCTTTTTGTAAGTATCCACTTAACTTAAAACTAGAAGGAATAACCAACGCTCCATGTGAGTTGAGTGTCGATGCCATTCGTGCAACGTGGCTTCCGGTTTTCAATAAATTTGTGTTTGCATCTGATGTGCCAGAAATTAAGGTTCATTTATTTATTTGAATTAATCTGTTTCAGCATTATTTTGATTCATTTTTTATCTGTTTCTAGTATCATTCTATCCTTACCATTGTTATATAATTTTTGATAGTATTATCTGTATGAAAACTTTAATATCATTGTGCTGTAATTTGTTAGGGAAATGAAATTTCGAACTTTAGATTACTGCTCGAGGTTACAAACCCGACGGTGGTGGATGTGTAATTTTGACTTTACCAACAATAAGAACCTTTCGTCCTGTACAGGTATCTTTTTTAATGCAAGTTTTTACTATAAGATTATTTTTTTCTTACTCGGAGACATCCCGTAGTTTTGCTTCTTCATGAATATAATTACACGATTGTCTTTATATCTTGTTTGTTCATTGTTTCTTAATTTTTAATGATAAACATTATTACGCTTAAATATTTAATGATAAACCTTATAAATACTTAAATTTTGTATTTTTTTTTGCTATAATTTAGTGTAAAACAGTTGGAAAAATATGTAAAATACGAGGGATTGCGTCTGTTTCCAAAGTTTCTCCATCTATAGCATATCGTATGATTGATGCAGCAAAGCACACTCTTCGCGATTACATTGCTGATATTTATATCACTGTTGATCAGAGAAAAGGAGCATCTGGTGGAAAGTATGGTATTATTCCATTTTTTAGCTTTTCTTGTCTTGAAGAATTTTTTCTTTGTTCAAGCATTTCAGAACTTTGAGGATAGTCAGTGTTGTATGTTCGATATGATTTTTTTTTACAAATAAATTTAGACGCTTTTTAGTGGTTTTTATGGTTCTGCAGATCAGCAACATATACTTTCATTGTTAGGGAATAGAATAAAAAATGAAAAGACAAATATAAAATAGTAGATGTCTGAATACAAATAGCTCTTTAATAGCTGTCAATAGTTCTTTACTCAAAAAAAAAAAAATGAATTTTTAAAATTCTATCTTTTTTGTCCGAATAATTATGATTGGTTCTTTAGTTCACCTGGCTTTGGTCTTTTTTTAACTAGTGAAACGACGGAAGGAATAATTTATCATGGTGAAGCCGTATCAAAACCGAAAGATGAACAAGGCAACCCAGTTGTGCCGGAAGACGTTGGACACGTTGCTGCATGCCAGTTGTTGGATCAGATCTTTGCAGTTAGTTTCGTTTCTTCTCACTGATAAATTGTATTGAAAAAATGATACTCTCATTTTGCATAATTTAGTTAATAATTATATTTCCAGGGAGGATGTGTTGACACCACAGCTCAAGCCTTAGCTGTGACTTTTATGACGCTTTGCGAAAAGGATGTTAGTACATATCTGTTTGGACCTCTCTCTGCTTACTGGTTTGTTTGATTTACTTACCTGGAAATATGTCAAATGCTACCTTATCTTTTTCAGATATAGAGCATATCCATATTTCTGGTTTCTTTCTCGAGTATTACTATGAAGAAAAAATTTTTCCATTACCTTAGAACATACACCGTAGCTTTCTGCAATATGAAGCTCAAACTTTGTTACGAACATTGTCAACATGCATCCAGTATTGCTGTTGTGACAATTTAGTTATCATTTGTTCTCACTAAAATTAAGCAACTAATTGGATTAGCGCGTGCAGAATGATTTGCTTATAATTTTATTAAGACCTCTTCTGTACTTTTTAATATTTTTTTTTTCAGTATGTACACATTGCGGAATTTGAAGAAATACTTCGAAATAACATTCAAAATAGATCATTGGGATGAGCTATGCGATGATAAAGAACAGAGATTGGGCTCTAATGAGAAGGCACTGATGACTTGTATGGGTATCGGATTTAGTAATTTGAATAAAATTGTGTTGTGATTTGAATCCAGTATTACATGTGATTTTGGTAAACTTAAATGGCTTCCAGTTTTCCCTAAATTCAGAATATGAATGATTTCAATGATGTCTTTTTTTATTTTGGAATTTCGTGTTGGTAAGAAGTATTGTGGTGAGAAATCATAATAAGTAAACTAATTACATATTGTTCAAGGCTAACATAATATTGTTGTTTGTTTTGTTTATTTTTTTGTTTTTTATTTTTTGTTTTTGTTTGGATTGTTGATTTGCAATAAAATTTTTTGCATTTGAAATTTGTTTTGTGTTATATTATTTCAGTCAGTGATTCTGCGTATTCACTAGAGAGCGACTTATCAAAGTGCTTTCTCATAATGATTTCATAGTTCATTTAAGTGAATTCCATTGTTAGGTTGATGGAAGTGCCAGTGCTACCGTGGGCTGATTTCTTGATAGAATGTCCAAGTATCAATAATGGAGCTGGTACGTCTGAGTTAGTTGAATCTGAGTGGGAATGGCTTAAACAGTTGTGTGAATTGGCTGATGAGGATTGCTGTTCGGAAGTTAATAATTCATTTCAACAAGTAACAATAACTTTCAGGTTGTGTCTTTTTTTCTAATCAAGTATTCTCTCACGTTAATAATAGGCCGACGTGGTGTTCTGGTGTTGTACTGCTTATAGGTCTTGAAAAGGTTTATAATTGCGGGAAAATGAGGAAAATGAAATTTTTCTATACCTATGTTTTTCTATTAACTAAATTTCTATTAGACTCAAACCTGATTGGAATATATGTTACTACTATTTACTAACTTTACCGCTAACTAAGGTTTGCCTTTTGCATAGGGGACAGGGTGGGTATTTGTTGGGATAAGGCTTTCGAATATTGCTTCTGCTTACATAATTAATTATGTAACGTAATAAAAATAATCGTAGAGGAATGCAAATCCATTTTTGTAGATTGGATGCTAGCAGTTATTTTTTGAAGCTACAGCGGAGTGAATCTTTTCCTGCAACTGGTCCGGGAGTTGTGACCAGTTTGGGTTCTGCATTTCAGCATTCATGGCAAAATGGTGATACACTTTGTTCATTGTATCATAGCTTCGTTGAACGTTGTTTAAAGTACGGCGATATTACTTTTATTAATGCTCTTCAGTTCTTTCTAGTTCAGGACAGTAAATATGATAAAAGGAACTTTTGACTTAAAGTAATTGATTGCTGATTAGTTGTTAGTAGCATCGTGACTTTGTTTAATTGATGTTTCAATGATATAAATTAATTTTAGGATCGATCTAGCAGTAAAACTGTGCTCGGACGTCAGATATCCATTTACATTCATGGAATGGACAATTGATGAAGATGAACCTACTTGTGTAAGCATTTTTCTTTTATTGTAATTTCAATTGTTTATGTTTCTGTGCTATTTATTCTTATTATATTTTACAGTTGTTATTGTTTACTATTTTTTCACAAGTTTTCTTTTTTATATTTTTATTATTAGCTAAATTGTTTTTTCTATATATATACTTTTCTTTCTATTAATTAAGTTTCTATTAGTATTGTTGGCACACTTTATGTCAAAACTTCTCTGAAAAAATTTATAGTCCCAGCTGTAATTTCTCTCTAATTTCTCATTCTTGTTAAAATATAGTTTTGCTGTTCCTTTTGATTAGTACTGGCTAATTGCAGATAACCATCACATTGTTGTGCGAAGAATGGAGTTCAAAAAAAAGCTTTCAGTTATTTCTGGCAGTTGATTGGTTAGAACCGAGTACTTTTCCGCGTGGACTCACTTCTTCTGTTCCAGAATACCTTCAGGGCTTGCGATTTGATGAATGGGATTCATCAGATTTATTTGCTGATAACCTGATTCGAATTTTCCGTAATGTGATCTCATAAGACATTATTTGAATATTGAACCCATGTGATTGTAAATTTTTCAAAAATAACCAGTAAGTTATTTGAAAATGTTTCAAAATGACGTTATGTTTCAGTGAAAAATGGATTTTATCTGTGTTTTTGTTCCAAATAACTTAATCGGTTTGAAATTTGAGCACTATTTGAAGAGAAATTGGGATGAA